TATATATATCATAATAATATATTACATAATGTATTAGTATTTTTATATTCGTACATTAATAACACAGCTAAAGAAAATTTTTATGTAATTCATTGGCGAATTTACGTAAATATTTTTACACTTAACTCTAATTGTAAATTTACTTTTACAAAGTACTTTACTTGTATGAAGTAGAATAATTTTATTTGTAAATTGTGACTTTACGTGAGTTAATATATGTACCTTTAATAGTAATAAATCTTAAAATTACCTATTATAATTGTTATAATTTCACATGTAATTTTTTTACAGCGCGTGTCTTAATATTCTATCGTTTCGCGATAAGAAAAATCTTTTTTTGATTAAATGAATATGAAGAAATTGTGATTACCGCGAATTTTCCCAGTTAAGTTTATTCTTGAGCGACGAGATTAAGAACGTTTAAGGACGGCCGTCATTGAGATTAATTCTCTTAGCTCATAATTAAGATTAGGTTCCCTTTATTACAAGAAATTTAAACGGAGATTAAACCGTCGGCGTCCGCTTACCTGTCTCGCAACTGAATCTCGATTACGTCCTATGTAATTCTCAAGTATCTGGATTAAGAGGTAAAACATTCGACAACCTCTTTACATACTCATAACTCTTGATAATTTCAATAATTAGATATACTACGTAGCCAATAATCGTTGCATCAAAACGCTAATAAAATTCATTAACGTTTGCAAAAATATGAAGTCTAAATTCGAACGTTGATTTTTTAAAATTTAGCATTAATGATGTTCTAAAATTTTAATCTTAATTTAATTACTGCAATTATATTTTATTTAATATTTTAATTGCTATATGACACCCATATTTGAGTGATGCATAAAATTTGCAACTTCTAATGCATTTTCAATATATTTCATACTGACATATGATATTTCTTTTTGCAGTAAACAACGTTTTCAAAGACTAATGGAGACATTGTTTTCTTGTCATTTATTCACAACTTTTGCAAAATGCTCTTTTATGCAGCAGCAGATAGTTTAATTAATGATTATCCATAAATCTGGATGCTGCAGAATATATATATCTATTGTAAAGAGAAATATCTCTGCCGCGCGTACTCCATCCGATCGCATCTCACTTCATTTTATCCATCTTCTTATCTCCCTTGTTTACCTGTATTTATGGAACGGAAAGATGAGGCGGAAGTGGGATAATAATTTCGTGCCACGGATAGAGAAACGGCGAAACTTTTGATCGACGGCGGGCCCACGCGGCCACGCCACGCGCATCAACTTTTATTATTTATTGTTACTTTAAAGTCCGCGGTCGGTTTAGTCAGAGGTTTTACGGTTACCTTTAATGGCGCCCAGTGTAGAACTTTCGAAACGACTCTTTGCCTTCACCTCTTTATGCTCTTAGCACCGACCGAGCAACCCCTTTTCATGGGAAATCGATGGAAAACGTATCAGGGCGGAGAGAAAGGCAAAGGACATATCGCTGACATGGTGCACGTGGCAGTGAAAGTTGTGATATAAGGTGCCGTTGTCATTTAGATTGGATACAAAGAGAAGCTGTTTTCTGTTTCAGCTCGGTGAGACGTTAAATCCCGAACTGCAGATCATCACCAGCGTGTTCAATAAGGTCATATATCGAGGTGAGTGCAATACAATATGTCGCGGGGGGAGGGGAGGGGCGGGGGGAAAGCGTAAAATACTTCTCCTCTACTCTTTTCCTAAATCAAGCTGGAAAGTCCATCGTCTTTGGCTCTCTATTGTGTAACACATTCGCTTGTATCTCATTCAACAACATGATAACTTTTTTCCTTTTAATTCCGCTCTAACTCCATTGGATACCGGCGATAGCTTTCCTTTTGTATGGTTGTGATGTCCACTTGGCTGCGTTCTTTTCCTTTTTATGCTATATATCTTGAAATGATATTAAACAGTTTCAAACATTAGTGTTTGGTATTTATTTGAATTTATTATACACAAGACGTTATTTGAAATTATTAATGTAACTCAGTAAACAAGAAACATTTTGGTACATTTTAGCAACATTATAATGTTGCAAGCATTAATGTTTGAAATTGTTTAATTTTTATTATTTTTATTTTTATTTTTTATCTTATTGTACGACACGAAAATGATTCATTACACTGTTCAATTTAATGTTAATTCAAATTATATCTTAAGTTGAATTATTTTTAATAATTTCTACATAGGTTGCTGCTATTTCTACTCAATTAATTTAACTAAAACAATGGAATTAAACAATTTAACTCAAGCAAATATATTAAATTTGATTCAAATTTAAATTATTATTTATTAAAAACATTTACATTAATATAGACGTTGTTTACTTCAAAATTGATTACAGAATTGATTTACCAATGTTTCTTTTATATTTAATAATGTAGAATCTAAACTTTTTTCACAGAATTTATAATTTATATTATTGTAACATTTTCTCACTACTATGACTCGTTTATAGTTTAGTGTTATTAATTAATTATAGCATTAAAATCAAGTTTGACTCAGACTTTTTAATTTTATTGTTTAAATTTTGAATCAATTGAATCTTTGCTTCTAGATTAATTTAATTCTAATTCTTGCTACTTTATTAATTATATAAATAAATACAAATAATATACGCTATCATATTTCTGAGTAAATAACATTATAATTGGTGAACAGTGTATTTACAAAAGTAAATCGCGCGTGTTGTGTTTAAATGTTGCTCCATTATTTCCTTAAACAATCAAAAATTTATGAAACATTTATGCAGAAAATACGTACTTAATTTTATTATGAAAAACTTGATTTTCGAAACAAGAATTCGAGAATAATTTTAACGCATTCTATATTTTTAAAATTGCATCGGCATTTTAATTTTTTCAATGCCATTGAATGCATCTGGTACATTATTGATGCCGGACGTATCAAGCGATGTGTAATAATTATCTATTCGTGATCGCTCTCCCATTGATGCTTTTTGTGGTGTACATCGGGCGACGCGATGTAACGACAGACGACGTAACTATGCCGTATTGTATCACCGGAACGTAAATCCTGAACAAGCTGTGCAGCAGCTCGATACTAATTTCCTACAATACTCTGGCTAAATGCATCATTGAAATCGTCTCGACGATCTCCACATCGAAGAAATTTGATAGATATATGATACTGTACATAAGAGATAGAACTTTGAAAAATAATGAGATTTGAATGTTTCATATAAAACGAGAGAGAAAAATTGTTCTCAAAATCCCTATAAAAAAATATCCCAAAAAGGAAAAAAGATGTTTCTCTTCAAACCATTTTATAGAAATGAATCTACGATACTTGGCATTTTTCATGAATATATCGCTGCACGGTACATTGATATAAAAGTGACACATTATAAAATGAGTAACTTTTTTCAGTAAAGCAGTAAATATCTTGGATTCGTGTTAAAATCGGTCCCTTCAAGTCCTTAAAATTTTGAGGCGTGTTCAATTTTTAACATATCCGAGTTAATTTAACATAATATGATAATGTTATTTAAATATTTCGTGTTAAAATTGATATTCAACATTTGTTAATGTCAAAATAATTCAATTTACAAATAAATGAACAAATAATATAAAAATAATGTATTCTAAAACGTAAGTTCTAAGATAACCGAATAAAATGGGATCAGAGATATCCAAACATATTAGAGAATCGAATGCAGAAGAAAGTTTGTTTGAATTATAAAAAGCGCTTAATATCGAAGTTTTTAGCTGGTTTATTGCCTCAAAATTCTGAAAGGCAAGGCTACAATTAGTCACTATTCTTTAAAAGATTAGTTTATGAAGAATGCGGGGCGGAATCAGGCATGCAGTTTCGCGTCACGAATACGTGCTCACACATTGGGTACTCCCGGTAAGTTTTGGACGGAAAGTTAGTCGAATACTGCGGTCTATTGGAGTAACCGCGGGTAATAAATAAAACGCCGTGAGGATGAGAAAAGAGTGTCGGTTTTGCCGGCGATACTCGAATGAAGCTTAGAGGGACGACGGCGGTGGCGGAGCAACGGCTGTAGCAGATGGCACTCGAGTCGAGAGTGAAAAGTCGAGAGCGAGGCCTCTACGAGTGGGAAAAAGATGAAAGGGAAGGGGATGAAGATAACGAGATAACGATAACTTAAGATAACGAGTCACTTGCTCGACCCACCGAGTATTCGCGCCAATGAACGCGTCGCTGTAGGATAGAATGAAAAGTACCTTTTTTTCTATAAGTATTTTTCTTAAGTTGATATTTGTAAAAATGATTGATGAGATTACCATATTCAGTTGGATAAATACTGGATATTATCTTTCCGGAGCTATTTCTAAATATATGTAATAACTCTTTTACTCTTTTTCTTTCTCTTTCTCTCTTATATCTTTTAAAATACAATATATATTGTTGTACTAATCCAATTTGTAACTGAATATAATTTTTCAAAGGACAATATCCTGAAAGTCATCCTTTTTATCGCGTAAAAAACTTGTACACATACAAATAATTATTGCAGAGATTGTTTGTATTATAATAGGAGAATTATAAATACGTGTTATATTGAGAATGACAAAAAGTAAAAAAAATAGAAGTAGTGAGTATGAATAACGAGGAAGCGTTTTAGCGAAAAGCAAGAGTAATGAAGAAAATGCGAACCGACGGTGTAAATTACTTACAGTAATGCTTTCCCGTACATCGAAGTAAGCGAAACAATGCTGCTAGACAACTAGTTAATAAATTTCCGGCTTTCTAATTACCATAGAGTAATTAGTATATTTAAAAAAAAATCACTGAATTCTATCTGAGTTCTTTTTTATAAATAATTATTATTTAAATAGTACTGTGTGTCAAATATTTATCTACATCTCGATTTTATTACAATCATGAATTTTTGAGAGAGAGAGAGAGAGAGAGAGAGAGAGAGAGAGAGAGAGAGAGAAGACTCAATTCTCAATATTTAAGAGAGAAATTAAAAATAAGATTCATCTAATAGAATAGTTTTTATCAAAATATCATTATATACGATTATTGCAACATTCACGTAATATCACGCAAGTTATGGTTTACTGAACTATGCTAAATATTGAAAGCGGAAGAAAATTATAGCGTTGTATCAAAACACCGATACATGTGTTATTCATAAACGTGAATTGAGTCTATAGGTACCAGGTGCGATTACATCATCCGTCCGCGATTTTTCATAACTTGTCTCGACGAATTAACGCCCGTCAGAGCTTCGTTACGATATTAAAATTAAATGGATGGCGCGCATAATGGATTATAACGCTGCTGCGTCAAGAACGGCGCGAGCGCGATCCACCGTTTTGATGTATCGCGCCGCGACTTACGGACGCAAATTGCACTCGACGTAAAATCGAAATATGACTCCCTCTCCCACTCGCGCGCTTTCTTTCTCTTCTCTACCTCTCTCCTCACTCGCGGATTCCATCGGCGCAACGAACTTCCTCCCGCGATTTGCATCCGCGTATCCGCCGTCGAGAGAGCGCCGAGCAAGAAAACGCCTCTCGTTCCTCCGTTCAACTTGCGTGGCATAATTCTGCAAATGCCACGGCTGGTTGCATTGCTCGACGAGGAAGAAAATAAACTTTACAGCCAAGTATTCTCGAGGGTGGCAGAGGATGGGACGTACGCCGGCAAAGAGAAGGGTGGAAGGACCATCGATGCGCTTCCTCGGTATGCTTCCTAGTAGGAGATTTCAAATACCCGCCCACCCACAGTCATTCCCCTTCAGTCGTGGATCCGTATAAGGGCATTCGGTATCTCGTCGATTAAACGATTCGACCTGGAAGCGTGCCTGACGCTTTTTACATGGTTAACACGATCAACGATGGACGCGCGACGGGGAAGAGAGGGATATGGGGTCGATTTACAAGGTACGACGATGTCACATACTCCGGCCGGTCTAGTGTGTGCATAAATCTGTATGTACGCCCGGGCACAGCTATGTGTGTATTTTAATCAATACCCTGTTGACACCGCGACCAGGGAACATAAATCATAAGACAATGGAAAATGGCGAGCGGGGAGGAGTTACAGCGGGATCTAAGTATTCCATTGTCGTGTACGTGCCGAGACAGGCACGTTGCATATACAGTGGCCCACAATAGTTCGCCTATGCCATCGTGAAATTTATTTAACTCAAGCCTTTCATCAGCTAAACATGTTTTTATACAGAACGCTCGCGTGCAGGTCGCTCACCAATGAACGAAACTGCGCGAAGCGACGTTTTAAAGGGATTTTTATTTAACGCGACAATATCGAGATCGCTCTCGAGTTATCAAAGATTATGAAAGACATTTTTAATCTTTCGATGGCATTCTTATTATGACATTCCTCAAATTTTCTTTTTTTGGCTACTTTATATGCTACCTATCATTTTTTTTATTAATAATGATACAAACATTATAAGCTACATTATGTAAAAATTAACTCATTTCTAATTTTCTATATAATTAGTGTGGCATATACAAAAATGCGCATGAAAATAAATATTTAATATCAAAATTTCCATGCATGTTAAAAAAATTTGTTACATGCTTATTGTTTATGCATATTTTTACACAATACCTGTACGTGACAAAACAATATGAAGTGGCATCGAAGGATTAAGAAT